ATGGCTACAATTCAAGAAAAATGCATCATTCCCACATCAATATCCTGCACTTTTTCTTTTGAGAAGAATATATATACATATATGTATAAGTATATATCATGCACTGTTTGGACAGCCAGAGATTCTTCATCTGGGGATATTTTTTTTTTCTTAATTTGACAATTTATGCAATTCCCACTGAAATCAGACTCCTTTTTGGTTTTTTATATTCCAAATGTCCAATGCCATGCGATATGATCGATCTGTTGAAACTGTTTGACAATATCCACCCTTTGAATTCAGGCATTTTGGTTAACTTCACATCACCTATAGTGTGCGCACAATAAGCTTAGAAAAGAATTGATTAAATAAAGACCAAAAGATACTTAAAATAAAGGGGAGATCTATAGTTTATGAAATAAACATACTAGTATATATTAATGAATAAAATCTTGCTATATATAGCTTCAGGAAGAGTGGAGATGTTGCTTTGGTTTATTTATAGCCTTCTTTCACATTTATTTCCAAGCTTTGATTTTTCATCTAAAAAGGGTGTTTGCCTTTCTTAGGATACCAGTTTTCTATGCAGCCCTTTTAAGTAGGATACAAGGAGATGTAGGTGGAAATTTTGACCAAAAATAAAATAAAATAAAATAAAATAAAATGTTGTTGGAGTTTGCATAATAAAACGTTATTTTCATCAAATGGGTATCGTTACATATATATATATATATATATAAGTCTGCAAGATTCTCATTATTGGCACTTGTTGTCACCATAAACAAAATATAAGGAGAGTATTGCGTATTCAAATTTTAAACAGTCTCATCTTGTCCGGACTTGGTTTAGTTTTATATTAATTTGTTATGGATTTTTATTCTGAAATTGGGTAAATAACAATAAAAAAACAAAAACACAAAAAAATAAAACAAACAAGATATACATGTTTCAACCACTTTATTTATAACTAAGAAGAAAAATAATTCTTCTCCTATTGAAAAATTAAAATGTAAGAAAATATCTCTCTTTAATTTTCCAAACCAATTCAAAAACTCTTTATACACCTTCACTGCAAAATTTATGGTCTTTAAGAATAAATATTCCGTTGATTATGCTTGAAATTTTGTCGGTATTGTGAATAACAAAGTAGTCGGGAAAGTAATTGTTGGTAATGTCATTCTGTTGGTAATAAATATTTCGTTGGCCGGTAATGCCATTCCTTTGTAGATAAAAAAAGTAGTCAATAAGCTGACAAGTTCGTCAATAAATTTTCAATGAATTTATTTACAAAACACCGACCAAATCTTGACGAAATAGATCCTTGTAAAATTTATGAAATTTATCGGTAAATGAGATAAATATCGTTGGTGTTTTGTTCTGATTTGATCGAAAATATCAACCGAATCCGATGACATTGTGTTTCAATTTTGTTAGTAATGAAGCCAAAATTTGTGGGTATTAACTGTTAGAAGGAATTGAAAAATAAATGAAAATAAAATAAAATAAATAAGAATATAAGCAAGTTTGAGGCGTGGCATCATTGTCTTTAAAAATAATTTTTATTTTTTCAGAAGGTAAAACTCGATGTAAAAAACTGTAGCAATTATCCTCTATAATTCATTAGACCATTTTTTATAGTTTGCATTAGACTTTCTTATAGTTTGCACAAACTTATAAAGGATGGTAACAGTAAAAAGAAAGAACACAGTAAAGAAAGAAAGGAAACAAAGAAAATAAGTAGAGAAGCCTTAGAAGATGAGAAACTTTGGTGGCTTTGATGTGTGTTGTGATTGAGGGTGTGAGGTTATATTTATAAAGAGGAACGGTTGAGAGAATCAAGAGAAAATCAAAATAAAATATTATATAATGTTATAAATATTTTAAAAAAATCAAAGACTAAATTAACATAAAATATTCTATCTATCGTTACAAAACATTTATAATGGCAGAATGTGAATTAAACATTAATTCTTTCTTTACAATAAAAAGACTAAGTCAAGGTAAGGTAAAAACAAAATTGACCAGCAAGGTAAAAATATCATTTGGTAATGTGGGACATTGAAACTTTATGAAATGCACTTATTGTATCAACATTAACTTCGATTATATCAAGAACATAGTTATTAATATCGTACGATACGTATCATATATTGTACGATATGATACTAGTAAAAAATTATACATATCGATAACTATATCTTTTTTGATCAAGTATCGAAAGCATATTATATAATATGCGATATATATCTTACAATATGGGGCATATAGTATCATATGATACAGTCCATACAATTTTTATAAACGTAATTCTAACTAATTATTAAAAATTTATTTTTATTTATTTTCTAGTTAAAAATGAAAAACTATTTTTATGAGTTTCAATGTTTAAGATTTACATTTTAAACAAGAAAAAAATACTAAACAAAATTGAATTACTCTTTTAACTTCAAGATGATAAGTGTTTGTTAATTTTTAATTAATAAATACTATAAAAATATATATTTTATTTGAAAATATATATTATTAAGTATTATGTTGAGAGTTTAAATTAAAAATAATCATTTTTTTCAATTCATACCTTATAATCTTTAATTTTATTAAAAAAATGTAATATTTTTAATTTTTTATTTTGTATATATAAATGTTATTTATAATAATTTTAAAATTTTTTACCTACTTGATATTCGATATTAAAAAATAAAATTTCAATACAGGATACGTATTTCGATTTAACAATTATGATAAAAATACAAAAGTTAAGATACTTTTGTAAAATGATATTGGTTGGTATTTTGGTCCATTACTATTATTTCAATTGAATTGGGATTCATTGGCTGGATAAAATATAAAATTAAAAAAATACTATAATAAAAAAATTATGGAATTAGATTTAAAAAATACAAATAGTTTATAATTTTCTAAAATTTTTGTACAGATTGTGTGAAACCTTAGAGCTATTACGTTCCATCATCTCTAAGTGCAACGTCTTCAATATAGGACGGACTCTGTTTCTCCGATGATGAACGGAAGGCATCTCTCTTGACGTACTACAACAACTGTGCAATACTCATCTCCAAATTAAGACGGGAGGTCTGGATTGTAGTAACGTCTTGCTTCAAAGTCTCCGTTTCCTCATTAAAGTCTAGCTGACCCACAACATTGGAAGGGGTAGGACTACACGCAGACTCGAATGTTGGAGCACCTACATCCAAGAAATGATGCAGTTTTCACCTTTGTGCCAGATCCATAAAAGTGGGTGCAAGTGGCTTGCACCCGTTCCAATGGCTTTAGAGTTGATGGAGTGTGGTCATATCCCCCTAATGGTTTCCTAAAATTCAATATCCATCAAAAGGAAAACTTCAGAATTCAAAGTATTTTGTAAGGCCTGAGCTCCTAATTTTGGGAATTAGGCTTATATAATTTGTAAGTATATTGGGAATGCCGGTGGAGTATGCTTACTTTCTTATGTAAGTATTTTGGGAATTATGCTACACAATTTGTAAGGCTTGAGAAGCTAATTTTGGGGTTTTGACATCTATGTTGGGATATAATTTGATGAAGTTTGTTCATAATTTTTAATTAATAAAGTTTACTTTGCTTTTCAAAAGAAAAGAAGTTGAATCTAACTGTATATATATATATATATATATAATGATTTGAATTCAAATACTATTGATTTAGTAGTGATTAACTTAGTAATGATTGATTTAAACCTTTATATAACTCTTAAATATCACTTTCACGTCCAATATGTGATAAGTATCACAATTCTATCCATTTAAAGCCTAAATGTCCTTATTACGTATCAAAATCATAATTAAAACTTACTTCACATGACCAAGATGTTACTAGCGTAATGTGAAAGTTTACATTGGGTTGGCACATACTTTGATACTAGTTATAACCATTCGGGTCTAATCACCACTAACCTAATAACATTTTCAACCTAAACCACGTAACTCTAAAAAACTTAAATTCAAATTGCTAACAGGGATTAATTTAGATATTTTATATAGATCTTAACAATCTCATTCATATCCAATATAAGATTGTATCATAATATTAAAAGAAAGATTTCACTCTTTTTTGTTTTGTATACTAATAGGATTAATAAAGCCTTGAAAAAAATTACCCAAAGATTATACTATCTGATCAGCTATATATAATTGAGGCTGTAATATCAAAGAATTCAATTAAAAGAGATTAGGACTAACATGCTATTATAAGAAGCAAACATATTCCATGCTGAAGACAATATCTAAAGTATATTTACTCTTACCTACATATGAATTCTATGAGTTACAGCTGTTTATGTACTTATACCAAATTTAAAGAGTATTTAGGACATTTTGAAACTTGAAAAAGATGGAAGAGAGAGTTTATGGTTTTTGGTGAAAGAAAAAGGAAAATCACAAAAAAATTCCAAAAATACAAAAAATCACAAAAAAAATCATATTATCAATCTTTTTAAAAATATCTACGTAAAACTTTTGAAATCAAAATCAAATTTTCAAAGGTAGGAAAGAGGGAAGAGGTTTCTTCGCTTAACACTAATAGCATGTTTAATTTGCAGAATAGATAGAAATAAATAAAATAGTTATTATATAAGAATAGAATTGAATAATTATTATGTCATTTGATACAACAAATGAAATAAGGTAAAAATAATTATTATGACTTATTGCAGTGTCTGATTGGTAACAATAACTTTGGAATAAGAAAAAAATAAAAAATAAAAAAATAAAAATACATTTTATTATATATTATTATTTTTATTTATTTTTAAATATTAATATTTTATTTATTTATAATCTAATCATTAACCTTATAAAACACTAATATTTTATTTATAATTTAAATTTTATTATGATTATTTATTTTTAAATATTAATAATTTATAATTTATTTAAAATAT